AGAGCCTTTAATATCTTAAATATTTGTACTGTTTGTAATTAAAATATTGGATAAAACTGAATTCTTTGCTGAAAGCAAGGTCAGTAATTGTACAATTTGTGTTCTTAAGGCTTTAGAAAAAATTGCTCCTCTGCAGAGAAATAGAAAATTAGTCTTTATAGTTTTAAGAAACTTTGTGTCATTAAGGAGAAGACAAGCCAAGTCTGGAATGCCTGAGCATGTATAGCTGTAGTGTTTTTGTGTTTCTCGAGGCATACTCTTGAATGGTTAAGGAAGTTGGCTAGGTTTGCATTTTTCCATTCTTTGTTCTCTTATGCTTTTTCTCCTTCCCTATTCTCTTATTTAACAGCTTCTGTGGAATAGACAAAATGTGATCATTTATAATTTTTTCAGTTCTTCTCACTTCCTTTGCTTAATCAATTTCAGCAAGCAGGATAGGACTCTCTAGGATGAAGCTAGCAGAATTATAATTACAGCATTGGGGCTTTAAAGCCCTTTGAAGTGTTAGCAAGGGTAAGGAAAATGTAAATGCATTTTCTGCATTCAGGATCTTTTGAGAGTTTACATGATGATTGTCCTGCAGATAAGAAAAGAAAAGAAAAAGCAAGTTTGTGAATGATGTCCCAGTTTAACACTGGGAAGCATTCTGTCAAACCTGCCTTCCACCGGGGAGATGTTCTTTTTGAATGTGACAATGACAACAAATGTAGATACAGCAAGGTGACTGGGGATGAAAGTGTAGGATAGTATGGGAAGCTGTCACTTCCCATAGGAAAAAGGAAAAAAATGTATTTCTGATTTGAGGAGACATTGTAAACAATCTTGAAGATTTTTTTTTTGTGATAAGAACAAATAGTCCAGATTAACAAAAGATTTTTCAAAGTAGGAAGTCTGGTATTACATCTCTGATTAATACGTATTTTCTCCCTTGGGAACCTTGGGCAAATGAGATAAGCTGTATCAGGCTTCCCTTGCAGCTCATGTGTGCTTGGAGTTTTTACAGGTTGAGATAAGAGATGTGATTTTTGCTCAGGGAGAAGATCCCCCTGTGAATCTGTGAGGGGCTTGGACACTCTGGGGTATGACTTGCTAAGGAAAGGGCTTTAACTTGGGATTTGGGATTTATTTACTCACAACACATACTCATGGTCCTTCCTATTTCATATCTCTGTGCTAAGATTGGCCAGACTACCTTTTCCTGAATTTGTGATTGGGGAAACTCTATCTTCACTGTGACATGGAAAATGGTTTCAATGAGACTGAAAGGCAAATTTGTCCTCTTGTTTCTCTTTAAATATTCTGCAAAAATTTTTCACTCTTGAAAATCCATTCTCGTTGACTTGGTTAAACTGACTCTTCTGGGGGACAGTGCTGCCTGTTTGTGTTTGACATGGAGGATTGCTCTCCACAGATTTGTTCTCAGTGCTTTGCACTACCAATAGATGGGTAGAAGCAGCTAAAACTTCAGTGGAGTAACAGCATTTCCATTGGATGTGTTTCATCAGGGAAATATCAATACCTGCAAGAAATTAGTTGCTCTTCATGTTTCTTTTTGTTTTTGTTTTTTTTTTCTCCAAGAATGGAGTGGTTATGTTGTCTGCATGGGTGGGACACTATTGCTCTTACAAAGAAACGAGCTGAAATGTATGCACTTTAAACTTGTAATCATTCCAAGGATCTCTAACTGAAATCAGCTGATAAAATACTTTTCCAGAATTAAAATAATGGTAGAGGCATTGTTCTTTTTTTTTTGTTTCCCACCCTGCAGCAGTTCAAGACTAGTGCTAGATGACTACATATATGCATATATTTGCATATATATGCATGTTGCTGATCTTAGCCCAAGAGATCTAAACCTCTAGTTTATCCTGTAGGAATGTCAAATACCCAATAATAAATGCTCACAAAATCCTGCATGTGAAAGGGAGCTGATTGTTTTGGAGTGTTTTCTTTGTTAGTATGCAACACAGAAAAGCCTGTTCCTATAAGTAAGGAGATACGGAAAAAAGCATAGATTTATCTAGCTCATCCTTTCTCAGTACAAGGGTATTGTCTGTACTACTCTGGATTTTTGGTAGTCCAAGTTTGAATAATTTAACAATGATATCTCTCATGATTCCTCTGGATAGGAAATTATGAAAAGTTTCTTGGTATTGAGTTGCCTTGTCGTTTTCTTTCAGGCTCTGCCTTAAGGTTCAAGAAACTGATCTTCTGCTATTTTTGTAGCTGACTGTATATGTTTGTATTCCAATATTTTGACTTGGTAGCTGCAGTGCATTTAATCCTAATATGTTTCTTTAAATCAGTAATGTTATAATACCAAAACTAATGCAACTAATGAGAGTTACTGTAATAGTACCCCAACTTCATATATTCGTAGCATTTCATTTTTATTATTGTAGTCTTTGCTGAGTGCACTATTTATCAGAGTTTATAAGGAATGAGCTTTGCTGATGCTGTTAAATCACTCAAGTGTGCTAAATTATGGCACCAGAGCAGGTGCTATTGTCTGCAGCTCTTCTGGAAAGAAAGGAAAAACCCTCAAATGATCCTGGACATTTATACCTAAAGGAAACAATCCTTTATATTAATATAAAAAGATTGGTTTGTACTCAGTCAAGGGAATTCTTGGCAGTCGGTTTAAACTTACATGTATATATAGCACACTGGAGCCTGCTAAGTACCTCTGTTTTCTTTATGGATGGAGCTTTGGTGCCAAGAGGTCTGCACCACAGGCAAGCACAGATAGGCTTCTATCTGATGGATTGTCCCATAGTGAACCCCATTGTATACAGGATGTTCAAACACGTATTGATTACGGGGTTCCGTAGTTTACAGCACAATCATAACCTGGTGCTTTTAAGTACATACATGTAATCAATCTTCATGTGAAGGAACTCGGGACAAAAGAAGTATTTTATGCTATATATTAGACATGATATTAAATTACATTAGGTTAAATGTATGTTATAGTTTTCTTTAACCTCATCACCATAGCATTATTGTGTTATGAGTGTGATTTTTGTGTGGGCTATGGACTCAAGGGATAATAAAGCTCACAGTGGGGATAGTGCTGTTCTGGTTTTAGTACCAGGTCTCATGGCAGCTACATGCCAAATTCCCATTTAACAGAGATGCAGTTCTTTTATGGGGTGGTTTTATGTTTTGTTACATATCTTTTCTGCAACACTGCATTACAGAATAAGAGACTTGTACTTGAGGGGGAAAATTAGCACATTGATTAGATTTTAGTCCATTGTACAAATAAAATGGAAATATATGTGCTTATAGACTAATTTTCTTTGCTATAATGCCAACATCCAACTAGTCATTTGCAAAATCAATTTGCAAAATTTGCCTCAGCTTCCATTTCTAAATGTAGAAATGAATACAAAATTTGAATTTTGTATTAGATTGCCTTCTGTTAGCAATTTTTCAAGTGATTAAGTTAGCTCACAATGTTTGGCTATATAAAAGATGATTTAGGCTGGTAATATTCATTTGTAATTTGGGACGGGAGTACTTGAATGGTTCTTTTGGAGCAACTTTCATGTTCAGAGGCTTTATGCACATCTTCTGGATCTATGAAAAATAAATAAATTTGAAATAAGACTATTTGGTGATACTATGGTGATTTTGCTATTTACCCAAGCAGTTTTGTCTGCATTCACTCTTTAACTCATATTTTCCAATTGTTCAAATTCCTTTTTCTCTCCATTCATTGTTAGTAGAATTTATATGTTGACTGTATGTTGTTATCCCTCATTATATAGGGCTTAAAAAAATATTACTTTGCTGTCACACAAGCAACTCCATTGCTGCAGTGTGTGTGGTGGCTGTCTTTGTCAGGGAGAAAGAACATGCTTGAAACTAACGTATTATGTCTGAAATTCAAAAGAATAGTGTACAATAGTACTTAAAAAAACTCCACAAGCAGCTGGGGTTTAGCCTGTGGATGCATTTGGCCAGTAAGGCATGCAGAAAAGATCTGGGACAGATAATTATTTGTAGAGAGGCACAGAGAGAGAGCGTGGCCTGAGCTTGGTTCCCAAATCTTCAGTGGAAGGCCCTGCTTGTCAAAGGCAGGCACCCAGCTGAGGTGAGTGGGAGGTGGCCACAGCACAGCAGTTTTGGGTGCAGTTGCCCAAGCACAGCAGGCCCATCCTTGTGTCCTCTGCCACTGGGTTACAAAACCTGCTGCGCTCTGCTGCTGTAACCCTGCAGTGATGCTGCTCTTTTCCCTGGGTCCCACAGGGAAAATCTTGTATGTAAAAGGGTGAAGTCACTGCCTGGGATGCTTTGTAACACACTGACTACTGTGGAGGTATATGTGAACAAGAATTCCCATCAACAACAGGGACTCTTCACCACTTTTCATCATTACAACAGGAAATGCAAATTTACATTTAAGAATTGGTTTCATTTAAAAATATTTGTTCTTGGTGTACACAACCAAATTTGCTAGAATGACCTGGGTCCGTAAGGACCTTAATATCGTAAGCCCTTTTGGGACTTAATTTATTAATGTATTTCTAGGCTGTGCAGGTAGTATTTCTTTCTACAGCATCATTAACATTGTCTTCCTGCCATGATGCCAGTGTCTCCTATTTTTAGTTGCCATGATGAACAGTAATAGTATCAGTGACTGAAGATAATTGTGCTTTAGATGTATCAGCTTTCATGATGTCTATTTTTTTGCATTTTCTTGCCTAAAATTTTCATAGTTAAGGAAAAAAACAACCATAAGACTAATAATATGTGTTTCCTAGTTTCATTTTTAATTATTTAAGTTACTGGATTTAGGTCACATGGTTATGTTTCTAAAAGAGATACTTGAAATCTAAATTTGGATTTGTCTCTAAAACAATTATATATATATACAGAGAGAGAGAGAGAGAGAGAGATATTATATTTTAAATTGAAGTGTAGATTGCTTGCACCAGCTAAAGTACTCACACTTTAATCTCATGAAAGAACTGTGCATAAATTGTCTTTGCTAGGTGGTGCTCATGAGGGTCTCCAGCACTTGGGTCCTTATGGCAATATCCCAAATATCGTGGCTGAGCTGACAGGAGACAATGTACCAAAGGATTTCAGTGAAGATCAAGGATATCCTGACCCTCCAAATCCCTGCCCTATTGGAAAAACAGGTAATTCAGCTCTGCCCTTTGTACCTCTGTCTTCACTGTACATCATCCTGTCTTTCAGCACTGTACAGCCTGTTATCAGAAATGAGGGTTTTTTTCATTCTATGCCCCAGGACAAGAACTGTTGAGAAATTGGGTGTTTTAGTGTTTCAGATGAGCTTTTTAAAATCTTTTTTTAAAGAATATGTGCATATCCTGTATTGCTGTATGACCCTGGAGAAGGTGGAAGAAATCATCTTGATCTCAGAGTAGAAGATAGTGAGATTTATGAGACCATCATGTTCCCAAGGGAGTTCATTTTTAAGCTGGCCCCTGAAAAAAGTTATTCTTTTTTTCAAGATGAGATTTACCCTTATTTTAGAGACTTTCATTGTGCCAAGAGGAATGAAACTGTCTGCCCTGATCTCCAACCCAGACCATGAGTCAATATTTAAGATACCTCGGCTCCAATCCATGCAGCTTTACAGCTCATCCGTGCCAGAAGAGGGGAGCGGCACGGCTGCAGCCCACGGCACTGCAGGCTGGCTGGGGCAGCGCAGCCTCCAGAGCAGAGCGGGGCCAGCACGTGTGGGGTGTCTGTCTGTCTGTCTGTCTGTCTGTCTGTCTGTCCCCAGGCTGACACTGCGCCGGCACCCGGCCTGGGGGCTGCTGCCCGAGGGTCACTGAATCAGCCCTGCGTGTGCATGATGTACACATACCCTGGGAGAATGGGTCTCCTTCCTCCTACTTGAGCCAAGGAATGGCTTCCAGGACTGAAAGCAGTAGTAAAACACCCATTGGCTGCCTTGGGACCTGGAACTGGGAATGAGAGCTCTGATTTTTTATTTGTCAGCTAAGACATCCTTTCAAAATGTTTTCTGTTTAGTCTTCTTTTATATTTTTTGGATTATGCAGAACAGTTGTCAGTATTCTTATTTAAAATGTTCTAGCTATCTTAGAATTAATAAGAAAATAATATTTGTTATAAAAGTTTTTTTCACTGTGAAGTGTTTTTGCATTTCATTCAAAAATTTGACAAAATTTCAAATAGTCCTCCCTTACTGTTTCCTATTACTGCCCATTTGGTGATGATGCCTTCATCTCTTCTGGAATAATACCTCATCTTCCAATTTGTTCACTATAGCTGTTGTCTGACAAGTTGCAAATGATGGGTTTAGATTTTCTCATATACACACAAGCACACACATGGACTTTCTATCTTTCGTGCTTGCCCATTAGACTTCTGTTCATGATTAGATACATAAATTAAAGACATGGCATCCAGGGAAATGCCTTTGAAAATCCCTTCAATTTTTTTGTCTTAGGTGAAATAAAAGTTGTTAGCTAAGCTAATACAGTCAGATCTGAACAGGGGGGAATTTGCAGGGAAGTGCTGCCTGCTCAGATAAATGGCTCTGTCATAGGTATGCTATGAGTGAAGATAGTATCTGCTAGGATAAGAGCAAAATGTTTTTCAGAGCCTTAAATGGAATTCAAGTGGTGACTGTATTATGCATACAAATTACCAGAGGCCTTCCTCAATCAGGTCTGTGGATTTGCTTAATGGAAAACAATTTTTCCAGTTACTGTCTACATATGCACATTCCACAGCAGGAATACATAAGCCTGGAGCAGATGAGTGGAAGACTTTTGGATTAGCAGTCATAGAGGACACCCATGTGTCCAGCTGCCCTTTCTGTTTTCTACCAAAAGACACAAATGCTCTGAGGTCTACCACACTTCTGTTGTCACCTGTTTCTCTCTTGGTATAACCTTGCCCCTGATGAGACTGAAATGATTTCTAAATGCTTTAATAGTTTCTGAGTTACTTAGCCAATATGAAGAGTTTTCCCCTGTTTTCTATTGGCAAGTGCCAATGAGAAAAATGAGAAAGCTGGATCTGTTGAACTCAGAATAACCTCCTCAGGTCATTGAATCAACTCAGTCTTAAGTCAAGGCTTTACCCACATCTGAGGGAAAAAGACAATCTATCTGCAGATCTTTTTACATGATGACACACAAGGACAGAAGGGAAAGTCCACAGGTGTGTGCTCTGGAGTTCCTGTGTTCTGGCAGCTGCAGCTGTTTGAATGCCCAGCATCATGCCCTGGCTGGTAGGATCTCCTTGGGTATGTCTGAGAGGAACTTGGACTGCAAGCTCCCCATGCTGGCTAAGCAGTGGGAGCTCCAGGAGCAGACTCTATCCAAAAAGCTACTCTGGCCTCAAGATACTGAACCTTTGTGTCAGCTAAAGATGACTTACTTTGGTAAAAAGACCCCAAGTTGATTTTTAAAAGGATATTATCTTGATGTGACACTGCCCACAAAACCATCCATTATGGTTATAGGAGGTTTCTGGACCAATTAGATTAGTTACCAATCTACAGAAATGTTCTCATCATAAAACTTCTCCTACATAGCATTTTTATGAGGTCTTATGATGCAGAAATTATTTTCAGCCAGCTTGAACAAAGTAGCAAACCAGAAAGGAGCTCCAGGAAGAGCTAGCTACTCAGTGAAAGAAATTCTGTCTTTGCTCACAGCACTCTTTCACCATGACCTTTGAAAGTATTGCCTTACCAATTTCTAAAATAATTTGTGAGCATTTGAAAGGGAAAAGAATATCTCTTCTGAATCAGAACAGGATGCAATTCTAATTAAAATCAAGTGCAATAATAAAAAGAAAAAGGAGGGAAAGAGCTTGGAAAATAAACTCCTTCAGTTTTCATTAAGTTGTGAGGATTTTTTTTTTAATAAATACATTCTGAAAAATTTGTTTCAAAAGAAAAAAAACCTGGTGTTTTCCAGTCATCCAGTTCTTTATGTTTTTTTAATTGCATGATTGCATTTAAGAAGTTTGCTGACTAATGTGGCACATATTGTGTGTTTCAAAGCTACTGAGCACTCCATGCTTTCTTTTGCAGTTGATGATGGGTGTCTAGAAAGCACCCCAGACACAGCAGAGTTCAGCAGGGAATACCAACTGCACCAACACCTTTTTGATCCAGAGCATGACTATCCCAACAGGGGCAAGTGGGTGAGTACGTGCTTCTTGCTTATTTTTGTTGCATGTGAAACTGGATATTGTCTGCTGTGTGGGACACTATGAAACCATGAGGATGATATTGTCCTTAATGCTGGAAGTTATCACCCTGAGGGAAACTTCTCAAAAAAGGTGAACTTGGCCTGAAAAACAGAAATAGTGTTTGTGATTGACAAACACCCCAGAAAAACAGAAAGCAGAAATCCTTGTTCTATTACCTGTCCCAAAGCATTACAGCTTGATAAGTGCAAAAAACCACACTTCAAACTACAGTGAACATGCAGCCAAAATTAGTGCAGATTTTAAGATTTCAAAGCACAAAATGGCCTTAATCTGAAAGAATATCCAGGTTCAGTGACTATGCACTGTTCAGCTACCTATATAAAAATAGAAAGAAAATACAGATAGATGGATGGAGTTCAGCAGATTAAAACAGCTTAAAAAATCTAGGATGACAATTTGCCTTAAGAAATCCTCCTCACTTTAAGGATTTTGGAGGACTTGATGCTGCTTCTTCCTCTAGTCAGATTATATTGTATTATAATGGTAATTGTATACTGTATTATATTGAACACCTATTTGACACATCACGTGTAATAAACACAGCGAGCTACACTAAGGGCAAGAATCTTGCTCTGAGCATACAAGGACTTTAATAACTGCAGCTAGACTATTTCTGCAGGCTAGAGGCTCCAAAGAAAGCTCTGCCACTTAATCTTTGATTACATCAGTTAAAATGTCCAATCCCAAATCCATTTTCAGGCGCCAGGAAAACAATAACAATGATCATAATTTAGGCTTGTAGAGCAAATAATGAAATCTCATTTTACATTGTTATAACACTTCACTTAAGATTGCACTAAACCAGTGCTCTGTAAGCATACATCGATAAATGGACATGTTTGGCAGTCTCTTCTCCTGCTGTAATTTTGAGACAATGATTCATCTTCATAATCAAACCAGTATAAGATTTATAGTCTTAATTACTTATGTGAGTGTTAAATTTCTGGAGAGAATCATGCCAAAAATCCAAATTTTGGAAACTTGTTGCATTCTACGTAATTACCATCAAAGGTTTTCATTTAAAAAACACCAGATGGTGAGCGTTCTTATTTATGCCAGATAAGACTGTTAGTTTTCTTATTATTCATGAGTACTTTACTTTCATAATACCATTCTGAAGACTACAAAGGCACTTCTGTAAATCTTTGGCCTATAGCAATATTTCAGAATCAAGCACACATACTGTGTTGTCATCAGCAACATATATACTTAATAAATGATGGTAAATCATTAGTGAATCCTGGGCTTTTTTGTATCTCCATCCATCACTACTAATTCAGGAGAAAAAGCTGCTCATGTATGGATTAAAACACTTCTGGGTACTAAACAGTAATCATATTTAGCTGCAGCTTAGCCAAGTCCAGATCTTTTTAATTAGCGATGAAACAGCTGGTCATGTGCATGAACAAATATTCTGCTGAGATCCAGGAGAACAACCCTAATCATCTCCTAATTCCATATTACCAAATGGTAAAAATATAAATACAGTGGTATCTTTTTGTGGCTGCAGTTTTTATTTTTAATTCTCTGGAAAAATCAAGTAAACACTCCAAGAATTAGCTGTTTGCTTATAAAGCAGAGCTGAAGTAGATCAGATCTTTTAGGGCACTCACTGTTGTCTGCAATAAGTTGTAAATGACCAACACAGCTGGCTGTGGGCTGTCTACTGGGTAGCTGTGCATCCTCACCCTCCCACTGCCCCCAGCGCCTAAAATTCCCTCTGCCCACACAGTTTGTTCCTGCTTCTCCTGTTGAAGAGCCTAGGGCCAGGGGCAGTGATGGTTGTGTGCTCACAGACTGTGTTTCCAGCAGCTCTTGCCAGCTGAGTGGGCACCAGGCTGTCATCACCAGCTGCAGCTCCTGCAGCCACTGTCTGCTGGGCCCAGGGAGGCTGGCATGTGCTCCCAGCTCTTGGGGGAGCCTCTCCCCAGCCTTTTCCTACCACTGTGTGCTTGAAGAAGTGTTACAGCTCCCAGTGAACCAACATGCATTCCTTAGTGTAACCACAGAAAAACCCAGATTCCATTAGCAGGTCATAAAAAAAGGACCTGTTTGTCCTACTGGGACAGAAACAGGTTGGTTGGGTTGTTTTGGTGGCACACTGTCATGCTTGCAGAGCTGTGGGACCTCTGCAGTATCCTGTGAATAACACACATTTTATAAGGGTCAAGCCAGTCTAGAAGCTGTCTCATGCAGCAAAGTACATGGTTATGCAGATGCTAAATATTACATGTAAACACTGCTAATACATCTGCAGATACAAATACATAAATCATAAGAAATATATACTGGGTTAGGAGTGGGAAGAAAGGGGAAGAATTTTTCTGTCTTTGGGATAGCTCCCCATATATCAATATGTTGGCCAGTGGGAAGTCTCAGGAACAGACTCTATTTATAGAGTGAGATCCATGGGTTATACTCTCCTCCCCTCTCCTCATATGGGGAAAACACAGAGGGGACAGTGGAAATAGTAGGATGAGTGACTTTTGGAGTTTTCTGTCCTTGTGTACAACTGTAGTTTCTAAGATTTCAGAGTTTTTCCCCCCAGTTCAGACTTTTCCTTATAGGACATACACACTTTCTGAGTGTACCTTTCTTGCAGCTTGGCTCTTTGGATGGTGTTGTTGGCATCCAGAAACACTTGCACAAAGATAATTTACACTATACAGTTTACAATCAAATGTAAAAACCTCTTACATATTTTATTGATTTAAAGCATTTTAACTTCTGATTTTTTTCCACCCAAATCCCAACCTGTAGTACTCTAATCCAAGTAGCCAAGAGGATACAAAGGAAGCTCCAGGAGTGAGGGAAAAGTAGAAAACCACATGCAGCATGTCTCTACATGAGGTGTATCTTTAACTGAAGAAAACTCTGTGCCTTCATCCTTAACAACCTCTCAGTGAAGGATGAACACTTCATGGGCAGATTTTGGTGGCTGATGAGGTCAGGCCATTACGCAGTGGAACATATTTTCAGGATTGCTATTATCATACAAGTATGTTCTTAGCTCATGCTCCACAACCATATTTGCTTTGTACTCCACATAATGCTACAGCAGTACTAAGGGTCTTAAAACATTTTCTCAAACAGACTAAACAAAATATGGTTTCCTTGAGCAGGGATAGTTCAATTGTAAGAAATTTTTCAGAATGACGGAAATGCTAGCTCCAGTAGTCCATGAAATTATTTTTATTTCAGAAACACCCATTTTCCTCTCATGGAAGTACAAGGTCAAATACTTTAGAAAGAGAAGCTTTGATGGTGCTTTGTTTCCTAAGGAGAATAAGTCATGCATCCTTGAGTTTCCTTAAAATGTTAAATTTAAGTTTTCCTGAAGTGAGCCCGCATAAATGACTAGCCAAGAATGTTCCCCTTGGCCAACTTCATCTCTGTTCCCTTTTGGAACAGCTCAGACAAAATAACTGAGGTTGGATAAGAGATAGGCCTTGTGAATTTGAGGTTTAATGAACACAAGAAGTACAAAACAGACAATTTTGGCAGATTTCATTGTAACACTTGAAAATGTTTGTTTTTTCTCATATCAAGGCTGCAGAGAGAGTTAGACGTGTTTGGTGAATTTGTCTCGTGCTAGAATTACACTTTCTATTTATATAATCAATGTTAGGTCAGTTGTTTATAGCAGAATTAATGGCCTTGTTTATATAGTCTTCTGCTTTTATACATGTAATTCTTCTCTCCTTCCATTTTCAGGTTAGGGTTTGGTTTTGGTTTTCTTCATAACACAGAATTGAAACAAAATGTGTTGAACATGTGTGTGTTATTCCAGACTTTATTAGAATTCACTACTTATAAGAAATACAACAATATGTGGATGCACTTATGTAAACTATGGTCAGAGGGGGTTTTTTGTGTTGGTTTTTTTTTCATTTTCTTTTCTCATCATCATAACTTTCTCTTCTGCCAAGATGTTTCTGGCAGTTTTTAAAAGGTTTGCCATTAAAAATGTTATAGACCAAATGGTTTTTAGAAGCTTTATTGAGGGCACTACTTAAACAAAGGAAGAGTTGGCGCTGAACTCCTTTCAGCAGAACTTTGCACTGGGAAGTGTTGATATCTGGAAGGGAATAAGCAAAGACAACAAAACAGTAGGAATGACGCCTATTTCTGTTTTTAAAAGGAATTAGAAAATCCCTTGTAAAGCAAATTTTTTTGCTCCTGTTCTTGTGTCACCTCAAATGTATATAAAGATATACCAGAGGCAGGACTCCTGCTTCTTCTCCTTCACATTCTTATTTTTCTTTTTCCTTCTGCCTTTTCTTAAAAAAAAAAAAAAAAAAAAAAAAAAAATTATACCATGTATCACATGATAGGGAACATCCAGACTGTACAGCACATACTTGAAGCCCTTATTGCCTGAACATGGGGCATAACATAGTGGAAAATTACTGGCTTTTAAATTGTTGGTAAGGCTGTGACTGCTCCTGACAAACTGTGATTCTCAGTAGGAATACACAGATATTTATTTGTGGTTTATTTCTCCCATAAAACTACACACTCCTCTAGACTTGATAGTATTTAATAGCAGAAGTAGTATTTTAAAAGAAGAGTGTAATGGATTTGATGGCTGTGTTGGGTTTTTTTTTTCCTTTTCAGAGCAAGAATTTACTCTTTGAGAAAATCAACGGTGGTCCAAAAAGAAGAAAGAGGGTAACTATCTGAATATTTCATAGCCCCTATATAATCTAGAGACCTAATAAAAATTAAAACCATATTGTTGAAATGAAGAGATAGTCTAATGCATTTGTATTATACTTTAGATTATGTGTCAGGAACTCCCTGTGATAAACTGCTATAGCTAGCTTAAGGACTGTACACTGGGCACAAGCCTTATTTCTCAAAACAGACTCTTGCTTTCAGAAGATACACTCAAGTGTAGAACATTATAAAACCTTGTATTGTCTGTCTTTTAAAATTGATTCCCTTTGCTTAAAACCATTTAAACTTATTTAAAGATCTCTAAAATAATCTCAGAATTTGAAAATTCCTACTAAAAATATTAGTAAACTTAATTACCACTATCTATGTGTGTGAATATATTTTTGGGTGTAAATAACACTAGAGGTGGATCTTTATCTGATCTACCCCAGATGAAACTCCTATCACTGTGTCCCACTTGCTTGAAAGACAAAGATGAAAAGGTTCTCACTGTTCTGCTCCTGTAACAAGGAAGGCAACCCACACAGAGAGATTCTGCACAGTCTGCCTCATACTCTCTCTTTTCTGGTAGCGTCAGCCTTTCTTTAATTTAAAAAAAAATCACATTCAGTAAGAGTCGTCATCTTCAGCTTTGCTGCTGTGTATTATTTTTACAAAAAGAAAAAGTCTAGCTCTCTGCCAGAAAGTAGCTTTTCAAAATATGATAGCACAGTTTGTATTGTAAATGAAGTAAATATAGTTTAAAATAACGAGCATAAGCGAAGATGATTTATTTATTTTGTAACTCTCAAATTTTAAGTCTCTGCTAGAAAGGGAGAAGATGAGTTGATTTTTTTCCTGATTCAGACATCACTGGCAGCTGGTACTTCAACCATAAGTTAATGATCTGACCTGAGCTTAGTACTTGCTTCATGCTTACATTTGATTTTTGAGTTTGTTAGTTGAAAAGTAAAAAAAGGTAGTCACCTGACTTTAATTTTTAAGTAGCATTTACTCTGGAAATAATTCAGCAGAATATTTATTAATAGCTAGAACAGCATGTTAAAGTAGAATTCATGCAACATATACATGAGGGGAAAAAGAGAAAAAAAGAACATTTTCTTTCTGTGAGCTGACTAACACAATTTGATACAAAAGAAGTGCTAGCTGGAGACACTTGGCAGCTACATGGCCAGGGGTAGCCCAGAATTTTGAAGGTGAATTGCTTTACAGACTTATGAAATAATCAGACTGATTTTCTTAGCATCTACATGTCTCTTAATGCTAAATTCATTAGAATTTAATAGAATCAATATAATTTAAATTATTTTAGGGTAATACTGTAATAATTTCTAATGATTTAATGCACAATTCAGAATCTCCACTTTATCAGCAGAAGAGTAACCCAGAACTATCAGTAGGGCAGTGTGTTTTTCTAGAAATCAAGCAGTCCCCTGGATTCCCCTCCTGCCTTTTGTGCTCCCTGCCACCCCTCCCTGCCTTTCTGCACAGACACAGTTTTGGGATCTGGCAACAAATTGATTTTGAATGTCCCCATCTGAGGTTAAAACAAGTCCTGTGTAACAGTGTGTGCAGTAACCCTGCTGTGTCTATCCAGGGCTGTAGTGAAATAGTCACAGAGGCACCACTGGAGTCTAGAAAGCCACATCTTCTGAGCATGTGTGCATATTCATGTATTTCTGTGTGCCTCTACAGGCACACGTGCAAGCATGCATGCACATACCAGTGTTCACCACGTGCTGCTGTGCTCATCTCTCTGCAGCACTTCCACTGCAACACAAGGAGGTTTGCAGTGACATCGAATTTTAACCAGCAGCTCTCCCCTTTTTTAAATGTCTGTGCTTGCAGACAGCCCTGTCCAGAAGTGTCAGGACCATTTCTGTGATCACTGAGTTGCTGTGGGCTCAGAGCTGTGTACAAAGGTGCTCGGGAGCTTGTGTTACTTTCAATTCTGCACAGCTGCATGGGATTAAACATATTTTAGTCAAATCAGCCAAAATATTTTGCATTATATTTTGTGTTTTCTTTTGTTGGTTAAGAAGGATTCAAAATTTTATGTAGTCTCATTCTCTTCAACTTTATTTCAAAAAGTAGCAAGCAAGTACCATTCCAAAAAAAACAAGACCAATTAATCTTCCTAGGAATCTTCAAATAATTCTTAGAAGTTTATGCAATGGTTGAATTTCACTAAATTAACATTAAACAGAACTTCTTTAAACAAACACAAACAAATCATTTACATATGTCTTATTTCTAACAATTTAAAGCATTGGAGTTAGTTTATTTTCAAAGATTTTTCCACATTCATTTCTGGTTCTTAATATTTTTCTGTTTTCACTTGCAGCAGGCAAAACACCCAAACCTAAGAGAAGTAAAGCAAAAGGGCTCCTCTGTGCTATGACTAAGTATTAATGATAGCATCCACAAATCTGGAGAAACCTAAGGGCCTAAATTGAAGATAGATAAACCCCAAATGTTTTCCAGAGATTTGAGAAATTCTTCAGATAGCTTAAAATAAATATTTCATGCCCATTATGAATGCTTTTTTTTTTTTTTTTAATTCCTAAGTTTTGGTGAAAGAAGCACAGAAATGTCTCAAGAAAAGTAATTTCTGTGACACACAGTCAGCCTGACAAGAATCAGGAGATACTGGAAAATTTTCATTCCTCTGAAGTTTGTCCTTAGGCAAACAGTTTTTATTAGCATCAAAAAGCCTTCATGCTAGAATTTTTGCCTGTATCTGTGTGAAGACAATATACACTTGAATTTTGCTTACACTGACACTGTAACAAGCCAGAAAGCAGGTGTAAATGATACTTAATACTGAAGCTCCAGTGAACTGCTTGTCACTTTGCAAATACAGTAAATACATTTTACTCCATTGGTATAGATAAAATTCAAGCATTTCTATGTTACTCCATCTACGGTCTCCAAGCAGTTTTGAGACAGGATCTGTTCATCTTCAGCCTCACATTGTGCTGCTTGCATGGTGCAAAGTGAAGTTCAACCCTCTCCAGGAATCTTCTTTCAGCATTCCCTTCTTCTGGCAGTGCTGTGAGAGCCATTTTCTATGCCAAAACCCTGTTTGGCTCTGCTTCTTTGCCAGCAGCTTTTTATCTCAGCATCAAGAGAGGAAGCAACGAGGGTTTCCTGGAGAGGAGACAGGCTGAACAAGAGGCTTTGGTCAAACTGGAATCGTGGTCTCTAATTTGTGTCCCAGCACAATGGCCATCAGGGGCTGATGATTTAAGCTAAAGCTTACCTGTACTTCTCCAACAAGTTCTGTCCTGCCTCAAGAATTAGGGAGTTAGAGCTGCTGGTGTGTCTCTGCTGAGCTGAGGAAAGGAGGAGTGGAGCAAAAAGGCAGTGTTTAATTGACATTCTTCTATATTCCTGAAAGGCCTCCTTCACTTGTATTCCTTTCAGTGGATTGAATTAAATTCTTGCGCAAAAAAAAAAAAAAATAGAAACAAAACACTGGTGACTTTTAGATTTAATCCCTGGCAGAGCAATTTTTCCCCACGTCTGTAAATATCTGACAGATGAAATACATAAATATGTTCACTAATCCTAGTTACCTTTTATCTGTTTCCCTGTTTCTAATAAGTTTAAATATTTTTGAACTTTTTCAGAGTGTGAACCCCTATCTGCAAGGACAGCGACTGGATAATGTTGTAGCAAAGAAGTCTGTTCCACAATTTTCAGATGAAGACAAAAGTCCTAAATAAGTAAAATAAAAATGAAAGATAAAAACTCATGCCATCCTCCTCTAGATCATTATATTGCTTATACATAATCATCTATTAAAATCCTTGTGAATGGCAGCATGCTTATTATTTATATAATTGTAGATTAAAAACAGCTGTATTTATAACAGCATGTTCTCCTAGATGATAAAAGTATGGTTCTGTTTTTTGTTAAGTTATGGTAAAAGGATATTTCTGTTGTTTTTATTTTAGTCATGGAGCAAACTTTAAAAATGTTAGTCATTTTTGATAGCTAATGTGAGGTAAATGGTCTTAATGAGAAACTTGTAAATAGGAAGATGAAAAAAAATGCCAAGTCTGACTCCAACATTTAATCTTAAATGTTACTATGTTTGACACATGAAAATTATAGTTTTATGTTTTGTTCACAAATATTGTTACTTAGCAAAGACAAAGTATTTATTTTACGCAGGGAATTTTGGCTTTTGGTCCATTTTAATAAACATTTAAGCAATCTACAAGGTTTGCAAAGTGACATTTTCCAAAATATTTCAGAGGCTCGTTTGTCTCTGTTATTGCTGTGCAAATTTAAGAATTAAAGAACTGCTTTTTGACTGTATTCACTGAACTATTTTTCTGTTAGTTTTAATCATTCCATGCCCACAGCTTTGCTGAACACTTGAACATCTTCCTTCCTTCCTTATCAATGGAACTGTTATGTGAAAATTAATCTCCCCTGCTGTTCTTTGTCTTAGTAACTGCAGCATTTGTGCATTACACTGTTGTTAAATTGTAAGTAAAGATGGAGACATTTGTCTGTGTTAATAAGGTTGTGTCAACAACCTCTGAATCTAAATCCAGGATATGAAGGTCATTACAGTTGATCTTCTGAAAAAATATGCTACTCTAATACCACTTGTAGCCATCATTGCTCTTGAATTTGTTCTGGGAAGCTTAAATTGCCTTCTTGCCCCTAGGAGATTGAAGAACTTTATATTCCAGAGTTCTCCCTTTCTGAAAGATGAGAACACACCTGACTATTTCAAGCCATGTGAATGGAGCACTGGAATTAGGGAAAATAGCATTAGTTTACAGCTGATATTACAAATAATATGAGGGAAATGGTGAGGAAAAAAAAAGTAGTTTCCTTTCCCATCCTATAGAAAGATAACAGGGAAATAATGATGACCTCTTAGAAAAAAGAAAAAAAATCAAACAAGAAATTAAGGTTCCTAGCTATATAAAATTAAAGTTAACAAGATGGCTCAGGTATTACTGTTGTTGGCATTTGCTTTTTTTGTCCCACCCCTTAGTTATTTGTAATAAATTATATATTTAGAGAACTGGGCCTTTCGAGCCAAATATGGGTAGATTGCAAAATTTTGGATTGGACTATCATGTCTTTCATCATATTTCCTTTTTAAAAAAAAAAATCTTGAAGAGAAAAATGAAAAGTATGTCATAAAGTGGGGTTTATACTCACACAAGACACAAGCATGAGGAATTTCGATGAGTCACAGAGCTCCTTTGGCTTCCAGGGGCTGGAACAGGATGGGAGCAATCCAGCTGTCCCTGTGACAGAACTTGTATTCTCTGCATCTGGAGCTTACTCTTTTTACCTGCACTCCTGCTCAGTCTTCAACAGGTATTGAAAGCTGCAAATCTACAAAGATGGATCCAAAACCAACAAAGAGTCTATATGTATAATGGCCTAAATCTGACATCAAATCTTACTGATGCCCAGTGGCCCAGAGTGTGTGAAATGGTCATTCCAGCCACTGGTGGAGCTACAAGGCTTCCAGGCATTTGGAGGCCAGACTGCTATTCCTAAGAAATTGGTGTGTCTTCACATCCTTGACTGTTCCATCGATACTTCTGAAACAATCCGAGTTACATTCTGTCCTTATAGCTCCAGTAAAATCCATTTGAATCACAAAAATGAAACAACCATGATGGCAATTTATTTCATTTTCAAGCTCTTTTTAAGGACAAGTGCATAATAAAAGGAAGTGTGTACAGTAAATAGGGAGCTTGAAAAGGGAAGGGCAAAGAAGCATTGCTTGCTTAATAGTATCAATAATCCCACATGTAATTTTGTGAAGCACTCGAGGTCACTCCAGCCCTGTGTGGGAATGTGAAATCCAGCAGTGCAGACTGGCCAGAACAGGGATACCGGGCAGGCTGCCTGCATGCCACCAAAAGAAGCTGCCCTCCTGTGTATGACAGACCTGCACAGTGCAGGCAAAGGAAAAAAATCACAATTCAGACCTGGTTTTGTCTTTAAATACAAGCAAAGAACAAAGTAAAAATGTTTACCCTGCACAAAACGATGTGTCTTACAGGAACTGTCTGCTGGAGCAAGTCAAGTGTGTGGTGGTGAGCAGCTGTCTGCTGAGTTCATCAGGCAGCTTGAGTGCATCACCAGGAAGACTCAGAAGTACTATTGTGAAATTTTAATAAAATATAGCTATTGCACCATGATAATGAATTTCATTACTCTAATTTCAGCTTCATGGCAGAGCTGTCTTTTGGTACTGGGACTGGCTAGTCCCATATTGATTAAAAAAAAAACCAAACAAAAAAACACAAGCAAAAATCCTTGTCCCTCCTACTGTTCCAATAAGAGTCCAAACATCCGTATGTATTTTTTTAAACAGAATAATCACAGTGCTGGTCTTTCAGAATCAATGAACAAAGATATCAACTATCCCACCTCACTCAGAGTTCACCAAACCAATATTTACAAGAATGTAAATAGCTGCACAGGTGTAATTGCCCTTTTACCTTTATGATGCATGTGAATTAAGGAGCATGTATATTGATACTGTTGTTTAGAATTTTCATCAAATTAAAACCTTTTAGAGTATTTTAAAATTTGCAAGTGTGTTAATTGCCTCTAATGCATTAGAGACACAATGTGCTAGAAGGAAGCTATACAAAATAAAATGTATTGCCCTGAAACATTGATTTTGTCTGGTAAAGAAATATTCATTACTCTAGTTTAAAAAAAGCACTGTGTAACTGATGAGAATATTTGATTTGTGACACAAAACTTACTCTGGGGGTGCATGTGCATACACACACACACATTAATACACTTTTCAAAACAATACAGTCTGATAATAAACTCATTAGTAAAGAATATAATGATGTTAACCCACAGAAGAAAGTAATATAAATATGCTTAGTGAATTGCTAAGGTGGGGAAATCGTTATATACTTCTAATTACTGGCACATTTGCATTCACCAAATGCAACAAAACCATGCTGCTATGTCTGCAGCAGCTCAGGGGCAATCCAAAGAAGCTGGGTACTACTTCTCTGATGTCAGAGTTCTGAGAGTCACTTCCAGGACTGCATTTAAAGCTGACCTGAAGCTTATTTTATCAAAATGTGATGAAGCCCATCTTATCTCTTAAACTGAGGAAGGGCACAGGGAGAAAGATGACTACCAATTCCTTTAGGTTTTTGGCTTTGTTGTCAACAGAGTAACACTTAAGCCCCTTTGTTTCCAAATGTCTGTAGTTGGGGAAGCAGACAGCAGCTTTTTCACGATGAAGAGGAGACTTGCCTTCAAATCAGGCTCTAAACAGTAGCTCTATGGAAGGTTGAAAAGGCTTTGTTTTCATTTTCATGGTGTACAAAAAACTAATTTTTGAACATTTAAATTTTTTTGAAAAAGCCTATAACAACATTAACCCAAAACAAACTTGGAATCTTCTGGCCTGTTTGCTGGTAAGCTCACTAAACCAGTTCTCACCTCAACTTATAATGTGATACAATTTTTATGCAATTAATTTTTTTTTATGCAAATAGACAATGCCTGGATCTGTAGGACAGAGACCTTAAAGACAACTTTTCAGTTTTCTGAAGTCACACACCCAGATTTATGGAAAGAGAAGGGCAAGGTAGAGAGATTCAGAGGATGCTACCACAATGCCATGAAAATTTAAAATGTCCAAGGAAAGGACAGTTCCACATGATCCACAAAGGAGATGAGTATGTTCACTATTTTGTTAGCCAAGTGTCACTATTTCTAGGATTTAAGGCACCTCTCCATCTAAGCCAGAAGCTATCAAGGCTTTCAGGGAGAGGACATTATCTCCAATTTTGAGACACCTGAATCCAACATTTCAGGTTAACGGAACTGACAATTAGATTGAATTATATTTCTGCTATGCTTGATACAAAGAGGATGTCAATGAGATATGCCCTAAAGAGAAGACAGCAACAACAAAAACCCAACAGAAAAGGTTGACTCCACTGCCATATGAATAATATGCATACACTTAAAAATTCATTTTTGTTTAAAGGCATGCAATTACCTTCAATACTCTTTAAAAATAATCATATTCAGGAATTATCTCAAAGAAGAAGTATGCTTTTAAAATAAAGAAGTTACTGTGTCCCTTAAAATGTCTGTCAGTTTGTCATGCCTAGGGTCAACGGCAGATTCCAACCATGAGCAAAGAACAAGTTCCCTTGAAGGGCTCAGCCACTGACAGTGACCTGCTTACATGCAAACTAAATAAAAACTGAAAACAATTGTAGGCAAAGGATGTGGAATTGCCATCATGAAGATCCCCATCACTCACCAATGCAGCTGACTACTATAAGACTGGGAACTAAGCCAAGATTTTCAAATACAAGAAATGAAAAGGTCAAATGAACTATTTTCCAAGTACACTGATGGTCTAGGTCTACCATGCTCAAGCATTTTGCTGTTAGGTGAAGAATGGCATTGAGCTCCAGTTTACCATCCTAGTTTACCATGAGAAGGAAACATGTAGTTTCAGTTGTCATGTTTGCTTTATTTATGATGATGACTGCTTTGCTGAGATTACATGAGTCCTGATGGTTGGGAGAGCTGCTAACCATGTGTTCAACACATGGGAGCATAACAAACATTAAATATGAGTGTCATGGCAGTAGCATTAACAAATGGAACTTAAAGAGCTTTAAAAAATCCCATTTTATTAATGAGGTCTGTATTTGTATGTGGGGCAGAGGTAGACACGGTAGGAATTGAGAATAGTTTCAGACTTTAAAGATTAGGTAGACCTGAATCACCTCTTTTTCATTTTCCTCTGTAGTGCCTGTTACCAAAACACACAGAATGCAGCTCCTAATGCAATGCATGGTTGTCTTTTACATTTAATTACTGTTTCTTCATCCTACTCCGTTCTCCAAGAAAAACAGTGGTGTGAGTCAGTGGCTGAATTTCATGGTAAACTGAGTGAGGCAAAGGAGGAAGCACAGAAAAAAAGTAATGTGCTTCTTGTTACTAGTCTCAAACTTTGTCTCCTTCCCTAACCAGTGTAATTCAGCTAGAGACCATTAAATGTATAAACACTGACTCCTTTTACTCCAGATCTTTGTTCTGAGCCTAACCACCGTATGACAGTGTTACTTTCCTGGGAAGCACTGAAGATCTCCATCACAGATGACAGTGATTTTTGGGTCTGGGCGTATTTGGTAGATCACAAAAGGTGCATATGGCTTTGACGCTGAATTCAGACATCTTCTAACTAATTCTTTATTCTGAGAAACACAAAAAAACCCCAAACTCTAGCAGTTATTTCAGTGCCATATCTATATTCTAATGCCCCAAAGTTCTCTAAAAGTGTCCATTTCTAAATGGACAAAACAGTCTAATGAAAGAGCAGGTTAGTCCATCCAGAGAAGCACTCATAATTCATCATTGGTTATTTTTTCCTTTCTTAATGGTGCAAACAGTGACTAAGAGAATTGCAAAACTTTGATTCCAATGAGTGGTGCAATGGCTGTAAGATTTATAGACTTGAAAGCTGTGTTAAGGCACTTGAAGAAACTTATTTTTAATGCTGCATGAACCATTGATCAAATTTTTTTAAAAAAAGAAGAATTTAAGTAAATTCTTTAAAAGTCAATGTTCTACCAGATAAGCACGGCTGTTGTAGTTCGTGCAGAGACCCTGGCTATTGGCTGAATTCCCAAACCCCATGACTGCGCTGACACAGGACTCTGCATGCCTGGCTAATGTATGTGTGTGCACAGGTAAAAAAGAAAAGTATGTCCTGCTTTTGATTCTTTATAGCTTCATCCTGCTAATCCCACAGTGCCTCCAGCTTTGCTGCAGCCTTTCTGGTGGCTACTGCTCTGAAGTTGTCGTGTCTTGGAAGGCTCCTTTTCAGGTAGTGTCTTGAGTACGAAGTTATCCAGCAGGCAAGCCATATGTGCCATAATGATACACATTTCTTTCAGTTAAAAATACATTAATTAGTAGCTGAGATTATTTCTAATTTCTAACCACATTGACTATTTCCTGCTGTGTTTTTACATTCTCAGCAGCAACATTTAAGCCTTTAAAAGAACAAGAACTATCCACAAAGTTGAAGATAGAGCCCTCATAAAACTATCCTAAAATATCAGCTGCTTGTAAAAAACACTTTGTGTCTATTCTGTTGTGCATCTGGAGGTTCTTGAGCTGGAGGTTTACAAAATTGAGAATAACTTCCAATTAAAAGATGGGTGAACAGTTGCAAAGAAGTGCTGGCTGCAGTAAAGGCCTAAGTAGCCACAGCTGGACTTGTGTCCAATGCAAATACCAAAGCCCAAGCACATGCTCCTCACACCCTGCTTTTCTTTCCTGATTCCTCAGGCAGCTAAGGCCTATGCACAGCTATGCTTTCCTGTAATCATGTACCTCAGGTGCCTGAACTCCTACTTCTATACATGCCTAGGACTGTTTGAGACTCAGTGAACCTGCACAGCTCTACACCTATCTCAGTCCTAAACCCAGCCTGAATCCACAGACTTGGCAATTCTACCCCTGCATTCCCTGAGGGAGCAAGCCTGGCAACTGCTCATCTCACACATGTCTACAGGACCAGGCATTGCACGAAATACCACAGCAGACATAGACAGTTTAATTAAAAAAACTGAAAAGTGTCTGTAAGAGTTATGGCAAAAGAATCAAAGCTCTAATGACACCAGAGAAGGCAATCAAGAATGAACACAGATTTGTCACCCTAGTGGTTCATATGACAGGTTGAACACAAGGAAGGACAGGGTAACTGGGCTTTAGCTAATCCTCAAGGAGTGTTTGGGAAAAAAATACAAGAGTAGTCTGAGAGATGACAAAACCAAGCCAACCACCCACCCTCACCCTCCTGAATAGATCCCCACCCTCCTGAGTAGATGGCTAATTTTGGCTCCTTGTCTTGATTTAATTGTTTTCTGAATTGTTGAACAGTTTCAGTAGGGAAGGTTCAGGTCTCACACAAACAGGCTCTCATGGCTAAGAGGCTGCACCTCTGGAGGTGCTGGTTTAAACACCTCCAGTGAGTAGACAGACACCTTCTCTTTTCTGATTCCTAAAACACCACCAGCCTCCTTTCACTCACTTTTTATGTATTGTTTATTTTCTTCAGGAAAGATGTATTTAGCTGCTACCCAAATTCTTGAAGAATGTTACATTTAGCAAGACTTGGAAACTAACAAGAGTTCATTTGCTGGACTGTTCATTCTTTATTCTAGTAACTTCAAAAGTATCTTTAGATCATTTTACATCTGTTGAAAAGGAAGCATTTAAAAACTCCACTTCCTTACTCACTACTAGCATTCCAGTGACAAATTTAATCTTGCAATCATTGTAATGTATAGGATTTGCTGACCAAGAGCTCCAGTGAGCCCACAGGACCCTGTTAGTGTTCCTAACATGACATCTCATTACAGGAAGACATACCATATTATAAGCATTTTCAGCACTTAAGTTAAGGCACAATCTTTTTATCCACACCAGCATGACTAATTCTCTTCAAGGTGGTTTCAGGTGAAATTTGCCCTATTAAAATGTGCATGTCCAAGTACTGAAGGGTTTTGCAAAGCTTTTACATAAGCTGGTGGCAGTGTACTCAAAGCAAGAGGGATCTGAACTCCAAATCAAACAAATAATTTGATTGCAAAGACTAAGCCATAGAAGTACT